AATGAGTTGAAATAGATAGATAGATAGATAGATAGATAGATAGAATTATTAAGCTATGAATGAGATTAGATAGATAGATAGATAGATAGATAGATAGATAGATAGATAGATAGATAGATATGAACGAACTGAAATGCTGGTGACATGAATGAGTGATAGCATGGTTTAACACTTTTATGTCTGACCACCGCTTTACCGGTGGTACAGAAACATGACGTAATATCCAACCACCGGTATAACAGTGGTAGAGAAAAATGACATTCCTTACCACCGTTGAACTGTGGTTAAACACTTGTAACTATTTCTATTTCTACCGTGAAACATTACATACCAATTATTTGCAAATTTGTTCAGGAGCTCAGGCAGAATTGTTAAAAATGTTCAGGAACAAAAGGTGAAAAAGATTAACATTACTTTCAGAAGAATTTAATGATTCCATACATTATTCTTAGTAATCTTTTCAGTTTTCATATACAACTCTTTTAATAATATAGCAAACGATTTCTCTTGGATTTATGGAGGGTAAGACAGACCTTCTATTAATATGATGTCTTTTAGATACGTTTTTCAAATATGATAGAGTAATCCTTGAAAGTTTTTGATTGCAACCTGTAGCACTCAAATGTTGCTCATCCAAAAGCATAAAATAATATTTGTTAGTTTGCCGGGGGGGGCACCATTATCAATATTATTTTAACTATAATTTGTATACTCACCCTAAACAAAATTTACTACTATTTACCTTTTAATTATTATTGGTTGAAAAATATTATGAATGATTAGAAATCTAATCCGGCTTCCAAGTCTCACCAATGTAGCTCTATATTAATCAATAAAAATAATGTTGGGTATTCAGTGTTTTATATAATTCTTTGCACAATTTACATATTTATTTTTGTTATGTCTGGCTATTAAAGTTGATATTTTGCTTGCTTTCTTGTTTATAGTATTTGAATGTAATTCGTTACATATTTTTCTCCATTCTAGCTCCTTGAAATATTTTCGTATTCGTCAAGTCAACATTCCTACTTATTACCATTTTAAATTTTCTCATGTTTCTCTTTCTGACATATGTAAATCTAGTATTTTTCTTGTAGATAATAATATTTCAATCCCGGAATTAATTACACGATTTTCTCTGTACATAACATCTACGAAAAACTTTAGACTGTACACGCATGTGCACTAAATATCAACATATGTATCTACAAAATCGACAGTACATCATCTGCAAAGTAGGCGTCATGTAACAATTGACAAATAATGCTTCTATTTACCATGTATCAATTTATATCTTCATTTATAGAATTCTTTCTAGAGTTTGCAAAGTATCAAAGACAAATTATAAGCTTCCATTAACTCACGTTTCACTGATTACAAAACGTGTGGGCTGTAAATAAAGCTACATATTTCGAGTAACATTAATATAATGTTCAGTGACCCTGTGTTATTCATTTTCAACCGATCATCTTTGGATTCTGAATCATTTCCCCTCGATTTCTTCGGCAAACCCTACGCCTTCAAATATTTTCTCGTTTTTCAATTTATCTTTCTTACATATTGCTCTATTAAATTATCGCAATTCACTTTTATGCGACATTTTAAAGAAATTATTCTTTCTTTTTGCCATTGGAATATTTTAGCTGTTTTTATTGTACTCTTTTCTCTGGATTTATTATCGGAAAGGTGTAACTGAAATTACAAACTCCCCGTCGTTTTCCAGATTTCAAGAAAGATGGGATTTTAATAAAACTAATTTCTGATGGATATAATGTTCAGTAATTTTTTATTAACTTTCAGAATAACCATCTTTAGATTCTTGAACCTTTCGCGCTGTCTTTTTCAGCAACAACAATCAATCTATTTGGTAACTCCAGTTAATCAGTTGGATAATATATTTTTCTGACATATAACTCTTTTAAATTGTCTCAGGTTTCTTTTTTTGTAGCAGTTTCAAAGCAGTATTTTCTCGTGTTAGTCTCATTAGAATGCTTTAACGCTTATTGTTCTGTTCTCTGGGCTTATTATTAATCTAAAAGAAATTACAAAATGGTTGCAACCAAGGCTGGATCTAAATTATTCAAGTAACATTAAGAGGAGGTTAAATTATTTTTTTCTAGTTTTAGCGAATTTTATTCATATTTTGTATTTTTCATATTTTGCATTTTTTCGTTGATTTACATTTGTTTTTTTTTATGTTTTTTTTATTTTAATTTATTTTATGTATTTATTTTATTTTATTTATTTTAGTGTATTTTAATTATTTATTTTATTTTATTGACGTTATTTAATTTAATTTATTTTATTGATGTTATTTAACTTTATTTATTTTATATTATTTAATTTTATTTATTTTATATTATTTATAAATAAAATAAATAATATAAAATAAATAAAATAACATATTTCTGTTATTTTTTTTTTTTATTTATTTTGTTTTATTTTTTATTTTATTTTATTTCTTTTAATTTATTTATTTATTTTATCTATTTATTTATTTTATTTTAATTTAATTTGTTCTTTTATGTTGAAAGCAGACAGAGAAAGAAAGCCACAAAATCTCTTCCGGAAAGCAATGAAGGAAAGTGAGAAGAAATTATTACACAACATCCTTAAGAGAGAATGCATAGTTGTTTAAAATGGAGAGTTCATTTACAGTCACCCTGTATAATAATACAAATTCTATAAATTACAGACATAAAACTTTCATCTTTTATTCATTTATATATAAAAAAGAGACGTTTACAGAAACAAAATTCAATCAATATGTTACATCGTCCTATAAATTGCATTAATTTTAATTTAATGTATATTTTTCTACCTTCGATAAACTTATATCAATCCACTTGTGGTTGGGTCATATTTTTCGTGACGCAAAAGAAATTTCCAGCATGAGACCTGATAAAAATAATTCAATAAATCTTTTAAAATATCTTTTTTTTTGGGTTACTGCTTATTCAATTTATCCGATTTCGTCCTCGCAGAACGAATACCATCACCCGTGTGCTAGAATTAAAGTAAGCTGAGGAATTGCGGGCCAGGCTGCCATTAAACTCACGAGATGAGTAAGTCTGTATAAAGAGGCTTACAAACGCTTTAAGATGTATGCCAATTACAAAAAGACAAAGATTCTCATCAAGTAAGTCCCAGCAAAGCAACACCGGACGTTAGCATTCCTCATCGACGGATTATCTATTAGAATTCGTAGACAGTTTTCCATACCTTGATATTATTATATCAGATAAATGGCACCTGCGAAAGAGAGATTGACAAAAGTATAAAAACAGCTCATACTGCATAGGAAACAGTCTCTCACTTGGCTCTTCACAAATCACGGCCTCACCACAAGAACCAAAATCATGGTCTTCTGAACTGTAGTCCTCTTCACCCTTCTGTACGCTTGCGAGACATGGACCTTGATTCGTCGTGACTTCAAAATCTTGAGCACTTCCAGCAGAGAAAATCAGAAGAAACATCACCAACAACGAGGTTCTCTCTTAGACCACTCTCCCAAGTATCGGGACTACACTCCTTCAACATAGACCCCGCTGGGCGGGTCACGTGCCCAGAATGTGTCCCACTCGTTTCCACGTATCATCCTGTTTGGAAATTTCCCCATCGACAAGCCACTACACAGTGTCACAAAACGATGCTTCAGCGATCAGATGACGTCCTCTATGACACAGAGCAAGATCGTGCATGATACCTTGGAAACCGTTGCTGCAAATCACCCATCCTGGAGGAGGAAAATTAAGGGTGGGGGCTTCCAAGACATTCGAGTTCAACCATCAACATGAAGAGGATCTGCGACGTGATGCCAGGGTGGGTGACTCGTACAGCCGCTTCCGCCATCCACATTCCTTTAGGACTCCTGCTCACAACTCTTAAGGCGTGGGCTGGAACTTCACAAGCTTCTCAGCCACCGCCACCAGGGGTGGGAGAGAAAAGAAATAGGGAGAGTGGACGAGGATGACGATGCAACCAGGTGCAAAGGAGTGCTTATTAATAATAATGATTAAGCCGATTGTCCGATGGAGGTCGCATTCATTTGCACCTGCCTTTTTAGGTAAGAGGGATTACTTGCAGCCATCCGGTATTGTCAATTTTATTTATCCTATCTGTGATCTTGTCGACCACAAAGCGTCTAAGGATGGGTCCATTCCTTGCTTATTATCGTCTTAATTATTCTCAATTCTATTTTAGCAATATTTTTTAAAACAGTTTTTAAGACATGCTTATTATCGTTCCCCGTTACTTGTACATATTTGTTTATATATATTATCTAACACAATATTAATTTCCAAAAACAACAGTACAATTTCTGTAATAGAATCTGTATATAACATGAGGCACGGTGAAGTGAATGAATAGCGGTTTGGAGTGGGGAATCGGAACCAAGTTCGAATTCTAATCGAATACGTTACATACATTTACGTGCTGATAACCTTAGGAAATGTATGAATCCTCTTCTTCTACGCCATAGGTAAATGGATGAAAACCGGTCTACCGCAGAAAGAAATGGAAAAATCTGCCTCGTCTGTCATGCATCATGCATGGTACATAACTGACTGATAGAACAGTAATAAAATAATGCATCCCTCATTTGTTAGATTTATGTTTCATAAATTTCAAAACGATCAACCCATCACATTTAAGTGTTTACCAGAATAATAGGTACAGAACTGCTATTTAAAATCATTCCTCCTTTATGGTAATCAATACTGGGGAATCTCTTCACAGATGAAGAAGAGATGTGAAGCAAAAGAAATCTGCTTCTATAGAAAGCTGATGAGAATAATATTGACCAGGCATATGATCGACGCTTAAATGTTTTGGAGAAAATATCAAAAAAAGAAGCTCTATAAATAAAACCAGAAATAAACAATTTAAAATTAAACGCGCTTGAAAAAAGTTGATACTCACAGAACAGATTGAAGGCTAAATGGAAAAAATGTATAATCCAACTAGCGCTGGGTTAAGGAAAGTTAACAAGAAATACATTTATAGGAGCTAAAAAGAAGCTAAATTTTTGGAGAGAATGATTTCCAACCTCATGAAGGACATGTCCCATCGAAAATGAATGACGATTCTGCTCTCTTCTTCCATAGTTGTGGTAAAAGTTGCACATTGAAATTTGATTGCAATGTGAAATGTACGCCCTATAATGATTTATTCTATACTTATTTTACATACGTATATATTATTATATACTTATGCTATACGTATTTTATATACTTATATACTTAATATGTTTATTTTATACTTATTTTATATACTTATATATTATTATATACTTATTCTATACTTATTTTATATACTTATTGTTGCACCGGCCTCTAACGCAAGGGAATTACACCGGTTCTCACTATATATAGTGCCAGTAATACCTACCCGGTGTAAGTAGCGACAGTACTACAACTGCCTAGCTGAGTAGTACCCGTTTCCTACCTTTGTATCTGTGATGTTAAATACACTTGTTCTTTAAACCAACTTCGACTTGATTTTATTATTTTTACTATTGTGCCACGACACAACATTTATATACTTATATATTTATTTTATACTTATTTTATATACTTATATATTTATTTTATACTTATTTATATACTTATATATTTATTTTATACTTATTTTATATACTTATATATTTATTTTATATTTATTTTATTTTTTTATATATTTATTTTATATATTTTTATTTTATATTTATTTTATATTTATTTTATATACTTATATATTTATTTTTTTACTTATTTTATATACTTATATATGTATTTTTATACTTATTTTATATACTTATATATTTATTTTATACTTATTTTATATACTTATATACTTTATATATTTATTTTATACTTATTTTATATACTTATATACTTATTATATACTTATCTATACTTATTTAATGTACTTATTATTATATACTTATTCTCTACTTATTTTATATACTTATTATATATTTATCTATACTTATTTAATGTACTTATATATTATTATATACTTATTCTATAATTATTTTATATACTTATATACTCATTCTATGATTATCTTATATACTTATATACTTATTCTATACTTGTTATATACTTATGTATTATTATATACTTATTCAATAATTATTTTATATACTTGTATACTTATTATATACTTATTCTGCAATTATTTTATATACTTATATATTATTAAATACTTATTCTATAATTATTTTATTTTATATACTTATTATATACTTATTCAAGAATTATTTTATATACTTATATACTTATTATATACTTATTCAAGAATTATTTTATATACTTATATATTATTATATACTTATTCAAGAATTATTTTATATACTTATTATATACTTATTCTATACTTATCTTATATACTTATATATTATTATATACTTATTCAATAATTATTGTTTATTCTATTCTTACCGACAGAAAACATGAATATTATATGGCACATAATAAGGAAAAATGATTTGGAGATTTGATGTCCACGGGACAGAATGATGGCAAGAGGAAAAGAACGTATAAACTACCTTAGCAGGCAATCGGTGAGAGAACGACTTTTAGGAGCGATAGCAAACAGTAATTATCAAGTGCTAGAAGGAACAGGAAATTGTGAAGAGCCATGGTCGCACAGATTTTGAAGGGTCACGACAAATAGAAGCGGACACGCAATGAGAAATTGAAGAAGATATTTAAGAAAAGGAGAAAGAAATAGCTTATATTATAGAAACAGAAAAAGTGAATGCAGAAATTAAAGAAAAAATACATGTTCATAATGTGATATTCCGTTAAGTTACGATTAGAGCAGATATGAGAGTTCGAGAAAAATCATGGGAAATTTGTAGTTTAAAACCAGTAATTCGACCTTGCTAAACAGACGCTTCTGTAGCTAAATGGTATAGCACGTCAAGCTATAAGACATTCCCGTGAAGGATAGTGGTTCGATTCCTGTCGGAGAACATATATTTTCTATGAAATTTTTCGTACATTCAGGCCGGCAAAAGTTGTTAATTCTGTTTATTATAAACAGAGGATTTACTTAAATATTTGTATCTATAAAAATAATTGTCGGACTTTATATATATATATATATATATATATTTGAATAAAGACAGATCACTTTAAGGTTCCGTGTAATAAGTTATTTCACCACAACCCTTTTACAGGGCTCTGGGTCATCAGACTTTACTTCCAAAGGTTGAAATGAAGAATTTGTCATTTCAACTTTCACATTTGCTCTGACCTTACATTGAGCTCTCTGGATATCATCCTCCTGGGTCTACCCATACGGATTACCTAGTTTTGCATAAATATATATATATATATATATATATATATATATATGAAACTGAAATGAAATAGGAGAAAATGAGAAAAGATGAATAACCAGTAATCAGTGAGTGTAAAGTGAAAAAAAGAGAAAAGTGATGAATAGCCAGGCCGTTCTACACGTACGCACATACACACTGACGGGCGGACAGGCGCAAGCGCACAAACTCAAACAAGCACGCACACGTACACTATGAAAAAAAGACCTGTGCCAGTGAGAAATGCTTATGAAAATGAAAAATCGACAAGAATAAACGTTCAAGTGCTGATATCCCCTGAAGAGAGGACGGACTGATTACTAGAGTAAAAGTTTACAAAACACTCATTTCGGGATGCAGAAAGTAACAGCAATCAGCTAAGGGACAAACATTGTGCATGTATTAATTATATATATATATATATATATATATATATATAATTACCAACGGGTCCTGGTGAGGTAGAGATTACAAACTGAACTCGCTTTACAGATTTTAAATTTTACAGCAATAAATAAATTTATTGCTTTATTATTTTTTTTTTGATCAAACGAGATCGATTATTTGATCTCGCGAAATAAACTATTACCATGGATTCTAAACTCTCCGCTTTCATCATATATATATATATATATATATATATATATATATATATATATATATATATATATATATAAATTAACTGATTAAAAAATATGTTTTCGCTACACAGTAATAACCATGTTTCAAAAAATCGAAGCTAAAAACTTTAAATTTAATTATATAATGAAATTAAAATATTCGCTTGACGATGAAACGGAAGAAATGCTTTTAATTTAATTATATAATTAAATTTAATTTTTTATCTTCCATTTTTGAAACATGGTTATTACTGTGTAGCGAAAGAAACACATTTTAATTTAGGTAATTTATAATATTTATGCTCTGTAAATTTACATTGAGCATCGTTTTGTAAAAAATACAAATTAACAAGAACTCTGAATTATATATCTTACTGTTCTTTCTTTTTATATATATATATATATATATATATATATATATATATATATATATATATATATTACAGCAACCAGCATAACTGAATATATTTTTTGATGGGGAATATTTTTCTTTAAATGTCCATATAACTAATCTAAAGTTGGCCGAAAGCTTAGATCAATGAACAGCAGTATAAAAAATATGTTTTTGTTGGACAATTTTGTCCTTATCTTCTCCCGAAATTAAAGCCAGTATACGGAGTTTAGAATGGTTCATGATCAGGCATAATAGACATTAGTTGTCTGACATATTTAACAATATATGTTTGAATATATACATATATATATATGTGTGTGTGTTTATGTATATATGTATAGTATACTGGTAATTATAGTATACTAATAATAATACTCGGTTGTTTAAAAACAGGGGATACCACAATTTGCAAGTATATCAAAACAAATTGGTACCCGAGGAAAAAATTGGAAAAAAGGAAAGAACTAGAAATGTCCGAACTGGGCGAAATAAAATGTCCAGTGCCTTAAGTTTTCAGTCCAAAGAAAAAAAGAACACAGGGAATAACCAAGCTGAAAATCTGTTCAGGTGAACCCTTGGTAGGTAGTCCCAGGCTCTTTTAGTTATATATATATATATATATATATATATATATATATATATATATAAGTTATGAAGAACTTGGTAAACCGAATTGGTAAATCCAAGGAGGATGAAATCCTGAGAGCTCAATGTGAAAACAGAGCTAATATTTAATGAAAAACAGACCACTTTAAGGTACCATTACAATAATTTATTTCACCAAAATCTTTTTTAAAGGATTTGGGATCATCAGGTAACACTTCCAACAAGGAAATGAGAGGAAAAATGGGATTAGAAATTGATGGGTAGTGTAATTTTTGTAATTTAACAGTGAGGGTGAAGGTGGCGGTTAAAAAGACAATACAAAGTATAGGGAGGGTTAAATTTATATCTCTCTTTAAGAGGGATATAAATTTTGGTTAAATAAATTATTGCAATGGTACCTTAAAGTAGTCTGTTTTTCAATATATATATATACAAAACAAAACAAAAAGATATGTATATTTACAAAACTTTATGACTGCCATAAAAAGATAAAAATTATTTTTATTACCTCTCATAATGAAAATAGATAAAAAGTAAAACTGAAAAATGGGCTACATAAACGGTTTCGAACCTCGCTCAACAGAGCTAAATTGAGGTTAATAAATTAAATAGAATTAACACTAAAAAAATGTGGACAATATGTATTGAAAAAAAATTGTGCTTAGATGGAAATTAGTTAGAGGCCTCATGCGAAGTCCTTCTATTTTCACAGGTAGGGCATCAACGATAAAATATAAAAATCCTCCAACATTTTGATGTGGTAATTCGAGTGGGACCTGCTAAGAATGGCAAATGAGTCCACACTGAAACAGGTAGCACAATTATGGCTATTTATTATGTGTTCTGCCATCATGTAATTATGTACCAATTTTAAATCTTATAACCTTGGATAAATTCAGCAAATGAAAAACTCAATCTGATTACAGTGAGGAATAGCAAGTTCTTAAATGTTGAAAATTCTTGAAAAAATTGCTCAATAACCTAAACATGAACTAGTACATAATTTCAACGTCATGCATAGCATGATAAATGCCATTTTCCTCTGCACGATATGTGCATTTTATTTCCATTGCTATATGTGTACAGGTTAACAAATATTATTATAGATTAGATAATGTGTACATTGTCATAAAAAAAAAATAAAAACTTGTGTGAAAGGAACAACTGCTCACATTTAATATAACACACCGAACATCACGAAAGAATCGTGACTGCTTTACTAAAAGATCTTCGGCTCCTCCTACCCGTCCAGGCCAGCCAATCCGATAATTTCAAAAGCCTTTTCTGCCTTTCAACAGTGACCGTTAGCTTCACTGCAAAGATGCCTGAGCAAACAGGCCCAGACTCTGTCGATGATTTTACGGCTACGGTGAGGCGTCAAGTATTTGCCTAGGGTACTTAAGTATCGCCCCCCACTCAATACTTCGCTCGCATGAGAGTGTAAAGATCGTTTGACAGGTTCTGGTGACGCCATTATTTAAACAGAAAAAAAAACGGGCGCCCTCCACAAATAGAACAGATGAAAGATTGTCGAAAAGAAAGTAATAAAAAAGAAAACTAATGACGTCACTGTACAAGTGATAATATTTCTAGTGATGAACATCGTGTATATTCCACTTTGTCAACAACTCTGTGTATAGACTCTTATCATTATGCATGGACTGTGAGTTATGTAAAAGTAAACACACCGTGTCGTCAATGAATGTATGAAAGCTAGCATGTACAAGATAAAACGAGCATATATTATGTTATTGATACACTAACCATTTTTTTATCTCACTGCCTAGAGGTCGATCTCACACTGTTCTTTCTATTTTGAAATATCTATCAATCGAACTGTCTACCTATCTATCTTTGCAAATAGTTTGTTCATATAACTTTTATATGGATTCTACGTTATTGTAATTTTCTTTTTAAAGATCTTTTCCAGATATATTTAATCATTTCACCGACTAGAAATCTCAAAACTATATCCGTTGAATAGTTTATAAGTCAATTTGAATCTTAAGATATCTCAGAAGGTTATCTATCTATCTATCTATCTATCTATCTATCTATCTATCTATCTATCTATCTCTCTCTTATATATATATATATATATATATATATATATATATATATATATATATATCCGTTAATATAGATTCAACATATCAGTTTATACATTATGTTTATAATCTATATCTGTCTTTCCGTATGTATATATCTACGTTTATATATATATATATATATATATATATATATATATATATATATATATATATATATATATGTGTGTGTGTGTGTGTGTGTGTGTGTGTGTGTGTGTGTGTGTGTGTGTCTGGTGTCTTTTTATTGAAGGACGAGAGAAAATCGATGTGTTGATCCGTATTTCTTTTATTCCGAGTACTTTCGACATAGCACAATGTCATCATTACGGTATTGTTTATTGCAAGACGAATATTGTAGTGTTCATTATTGTGAAAGATATAATTGCTGTGTTCATCCGAAAGTTAAATTTCCTACTTGTGTAATGAAGAACGCTGAGTCAGTGCTGATATGGTTGGGGAGATTTTGAAATGCTAATAGTTTTATTACTACTTATTTCGTAAAAATCTCTCCACAACCATACTTAATTACCTCCCCTTAAACGATGTCAACGGTCACGCACTGGCTCAGCCTTCTTCACTTCTACTCCTGTGTATCGCTTGCAATATAACATTAGTAATAAACTATTTCCATATGTGCCTCTTCCCCCTGCTTCTGCCTATTATACACTCTCTTATCCCATCTCGCTTAGCATAGATACATGAGGGTATGCTTTCATGACAATGACGATCAAACTATACAAGGGCTACAGAATGAAAT